ACCTAGCGAGATCAGAACCCAGGACCTATCAGTTTCGCACGCGAGCACTAAACAACTCGGCCGGCGTCCGACGGTCCAGGGTTAGAATCTCGCGAGGTGCGGTCGTAAATGCGCACTGCTGAGGGGTCTTGCAATAGGACGAAATGGCCCTCCCGTACTTCCACGTTTTCCATGGTTGTTTAGCTTCAATTCACTCATGATCTCAACTGCTGAAATTACGTTTTGCGCCTAACAGAACAAACTCCATGAATCAAATGAAACTACAATGAAATAACTTTCATTTTTAAACTATGAGGATTTTGACATTTTGTTATCCAATGTAACTTTCACTCAATTTTTACATTGAAGTAATGAATAATTACTTCCGTTTATTTAGACAATTAAAACGCACATTATCCAAAACAATTTTGTCTGATTAATTTGCAATATCCTATAAGTTTTCATTAATATCTGAGAGTGAAATTTCTGTGCAAATTATAATTCATTCAAACTCATAAATACACATGTACTTGTATACATATTACTTATTTACGCACTTAATTATATACTTACCCACTTACTTACTTACTTAATTACTTACTTACTTATTTACTTACTTGCTTACTTTCTCACTTACTTACTTACTTACTAACTAATTTACCTGCTTACTTACTTGCATATCCCTATTACCCTCAATGGAACATAGACCGCCGACCAAAATTCCCCATCCCACTCTATCTTGGGCCTTCCTTTTCGGGTTCATTATTTTCATGTCTGTTTCTATTTCTCAGAGTAATGTGTCCCTTGGTCTTCCTCTTATTCGTTGGCCTTGAGAATTCCAAGTGGACTTGTATACATATATGTGCAATTAATTTTTCTTTTTTCTAGATTTCAGTAGTTATATCTAGATAGACAGTAAAAGTTTTCTGAAATGTACTATTATTATGTCTTTAATTTAGCTTAACGAATATTCTTAAATTGTAAGAAACGAGTTAATTATCCATCACAAGTAATAGAATCGGCGTCACCTTTACAGGCTCATTGGATTACAAATGAGAGATATCGAACCCTGAGTTCGATCCCCAATGGTGAATTGGTGGGTAGACACTGCAAGAAAGTCCCACGCTAGGCCAAGACAGGTATCGAGTAGTTTCAAGTTTTCAATGGTTATTTAACTTAAGTCGGTTCGTAGATTAAAGTGTGGATACATAATGATTTAAGAAGATAATTTAGGTTTCATTATTCACCGATTAAGCTTCTTACTGAATCATTTCAAAATGACTTTTTCTTGGGGAGTGACACAGCTTATTTTTAAACTAATAATATTCATTCGCAATTTGCATTACTTCTCAATCATATTTGTAGTGTCAGTTATTATGGCAAGCCCATATACCTTATTCTACATTCTATTTTATTCACTTTGCTTGGGTCATATTTTGATCTTGTCTATCATTCGCTTGTCAGTCTTGATTGTTTTTATATGAGCGTATATATGTGTGTACACTTCATGTACCATGACTTATCACATGTCTGTTGTTCATTTTGTCTGCCTATAAATATTGAGTAATGCCTGGCTTGAAATGAAGTTGGCTTCTCAGCCATCTTCCCAGCGCGTGATTTTGTTCTGTTCTATTACAATCACTTTGCATACAAAATATGTGTATTCAAAGGCCATTCTCGTTAATTGACTTATTTAATTCCGTTATTGACTAACGCGATTTAAGTCGACGATTATATACAAGAAAAGGCGATAGCAAACATTCGTACAATCTAAATAGGAGTTAGATCCACGGGCCACTAAATATTATCTAATCATACTTTGTCATGTTTGTCTACCTCAAACTTGCTAAATTGTTCAAATAATCATTTCACAAAATGTACTTCATTATTAAAAGGGACTATCAGTCAATAAGAAAAGCAAAGAACAAAATATGGACAGCTTTGAGTGAACAATCAAATCGGAGAGAAGTTATAATCTAATTGCAGATAGTTTATTGCTGAAAATCAGGTTGTTGACTAGATATTTTATTCAAAAATACTCTTGATGATGTTATGTTAGGGGACTTACGACACACCAAATGTTAATGTGAAAAGGAATTTTGAAAGTTAAAATGTTAAGGTTTTGAGTGTTATGTTTAGAGTTAATTTTAGAGTTAGAAATAGGTTAGTTAAATTGGTTCATTGTACAAACCAAAGCGCTTAAACTTAAGATTCTAGCCATAAACGTTGACAGTTTAGCTCTAATATTCTAATCATCAAGATGAAATTAAAACGACATGGATTCTATCATAGATTACTGTGGTTTTCAGCTCTATGCATCCATAGTTTACTTCAAGAAGTTCATTGATCGTGTTTGTAATTTCATCATTATTTTGTGATAAATAACATATTCACTATATATGAATTCTAATTAAGAAATCTGACTGTTTTTAATTCATAATAATAATGTCCTTATTATTCTGTTCATCGAAGCTCATAGAACCAGGACTATCATGACTCATTAAATCAGAGAATTTTGTTAATTGTGACATTTCCTACTATCATAACATGAATAGATGTTTCCCTTAGTTGAATTGTTGACTATTAGTATCAGTGGTGAATAGAATATCAGTTGGTAAAATAACACAAATAGAAATGCTTAACTATGTTTGTGTATTCCACACATTTGACACCTGAAACACAATGACATATACTCACTCATTTAGCTAGTTGATTTGTGATCAAGATATAAAGTGTGTGAAAAAGACCGACATAAACTTTACAGTGAAACTATACTACACTGACGGCATAAAGTGATTCTAGGAGTAGGCATGGAATTGAAGAACTAGATATTAACCAATTACAGCCGATATTTCATTGTTAGCATTAATGACTGACCTTAGTTAAAGTACCATAAAAATATATGAAACACTGGACAGTTTATTCATATTAGAATGGGATTCTTCGGTAGTTTGCATCTACAGGTCGATAGGAATCGCACCTAGGAGCTGTAAGTGTTTAACCTTTGAAACATTGAGGAGGTATCTAGTAATTAACATGTTTAAATTCAACAATTATTACTTACTTATCCGATGAATGAAGACTAAATTCTGAAGCAAAGATAAATAGTGGCTAGCAGTGGAATTTAGGACGTTCGTTTCGTCCTATTTGAGACTTGTCAACTGGATGTACCTGCATCCCAGAGTTTATATTCACTCCGAGACTCGAATCCAGCACCACTCACTTAGCTACTGATTCCTGACAGCCACTTGGTTCTGCAATTGGTTGAAGTTCTAAACGTCAATGAGAAGATTCGAATAAACAATACTAAGTTAATTTAAATATTGAAGGTCATAAACCAACCAACTGATAATGGCTAATCACTATCCCTATATGTCCGCTCCATATGCATGTTTGTGTTGAATTTCAATAAACCTGTGTTTTTATGAAGTGACTTGCATTTGCCTAATATTTTATTTGGATGATGTATTGAGAAAACTAAGATTATCAGAAGTACATGATATATTGGCGTAAAATTTTCAAACACTATCTGACCGCACATTTAGCTGTTCCAGTGTGAACAACAACTCTGAGATGCATAGGACATAGGACGACACGCGCGTCCTGGATTCCACTACTAGTCACTATCCATCTTTGCTTATAATGCTTGTAAATTAAAGCAATATCGAGGCAATACGCACAGTATGCACATATGCCAACATGAGGCTGATCTATTTCAGTCCTAAACATCAATGGAAAAGTACATGTAAAACAATATCAAGTGAATCAAACTTGTTAGGAATATTTATTTATGAAATATAAAAGGTCAATACGACAAATGAAAGATTAGGTGCACGAAAATTTCAGGCTTTCGTTTGTGCATCTTCAATGCCTCTGCGGTGCATGAAGTATTGATTCGAAACCGCTTCAATCCAATTCCTTTGTCTCTGTAAAATATCTTAAAAGAAGAGTCTTTTGGAGCGATATGTCCACAGTTTATTAAGTGCTACTGCATCGAACTAGTGATTGTTTTTTCGTTCCTCTTTCGAGAGCCAGGCCGGATATTGTTCTTAGATGCGTTTGGATAATGATCGCTTTGTACGAAGATTTCAAGATTTCCAACCGTAAAGCAAGTAATTAGTCCAGTTCAATATCCACATCAATATTCAAAGTATATGTTGATGAGTAATTGTCTTTGATGGAATTTTGTTCTCTGAGCTGGATGGTTTGCTCGTGGAGATAGAAGTGTTTATTAACCATTGTCTACACAAAATCCTTCAGATCCGTTGGCCAGACACTACCAACATCAACCTACAATAGGAGAACAAACCAGATTCCAGCGGAGGAAGGAGTCATGAATAGGCACTGGAAGCGGACAGGATACACATTGAGGAAAGCACACAACTGTATCACATGGGGAGCCCTCAAATAGAATCCTCAAGGCCAAAAGAGGAGAGGAGGAAGACTAAATAATACAATACGCCGAGAAATGGAAGCACACATGAGAAAAATAAACGAAAATCGGATAGAACTAGAAAGGAAGGCCGAGAACAGAGTGAATTGAAGAATGATGATCAGCGGTTTATACTTCATTGGGAGTAACCGGTGTAACACACTTTACTCCTAGAGATTATATCCATTTAAACAGAGTGATTATTACCATCAATTGAAAACTCAAATAGAACTTCATCATGTAAAAGTAAAAGAAAAAGATAAACTTACCCTTTTTTCTTTTGTCTAAATAAAATATCGTAAAACTATTGGTATGATTGAATTAGATTCACATTGAACTGGTGCCCGAAAGGATGAAAATTCTCCATATTTATAATCATTAAACCGTATAGTCTCATTATCATTATTATCAAATAATTGTACATTCAATAGAAATTAACTACATATAGAATTACGATCAGAGGAATCATTGGTACTACTACTACTGATACTACTATAAGTAGTAGTATAATTATTGACATAAGTCATTAATATCCTATTGAAACAGTAACCAATACCAATTAAATTGGATTTTTGATCATAATCATCATTCATAGTGATGAAATTATTAAAAATAATTTCATATTATAAAATTCAATTGGTTGATTTAATTGTAATAAATCAGATAAATAGACTTCTAATTGTTTCCTGGTATCATGATTGTTGAAGTTGTTGTGGTTGTTGCTATGCCAACGATTGAAATTCCTTATAATCTGTATATAACTATATATATCATGTAAGAAATTTTGTGTTAAACAGTTTTGTATTATTAAATGATGAAATATTGGATAAAATGCTTCATTTAAATTAATCATGGTAGATGATCCTGATCCTTCTGCTGATGATACTGACGACGCTTCTTCTGCTGCTGCTGCTGCTGCTGCTGATCGAATATTATTATCATGAATAGTCAAAGTAGTAGTATTAGTAGTATTATAAGTAGTATATAATAAATATTGTAATTGATGTGAATGAATTGTACATAGATTGAAATCATTTGTTGTTGTGGCATGAATCGAATTCACTAATTTCCGAAAAAATTTTTCTTCTTTTATCAGTAAATGACCATTGGATAAATCCATTAACATAATCATACACCAAATCATTATAATAGATAGAATGATCCTAATCAAATCGGATCTTTTATGAAAACGTTGGATCATCCTCATTTTGTTTTTCTTTCAATTCGATGATGGAATCATTCAAGAAAAGAAAAAAAGTCACATTCATCAACCTCACTGCCCGTCAAAAAAAGAAAAGAAAGAAAAGATCTATTTACATCTATGTAGAAACAAGAATAATACTGATGATGATGTGGATATTGTCGATAGTTTATCAGTTATCATGTGTTATATCTATTCATTTTGAAGTAAAACATTCTATATAGATACAGGGATATATGTATCCTAATAATAATGGGTTCACTGTTTGTTTATAAACATGATGCTTAAATATAGACATAAAAATATAGATCTGGTAAATAGGCGCTGTAAAGTTGACTCTATATGTACATCTAATAAAAACCAATGCTTGAATTTTCCACAGATATATAGATAGATGGATACATATATATATGTGGATCTGTAACGGACTGACATACCTTACGGACGTACATACCAAAGCGTGTTCATCATCTAAGGGACAACTAAAATTTAGGTCTGATTTGTTTTGGCATAGTTTAATGATTGGTCAGAGAGTTGAAATCTATTTTCCTTAATTTATGATTGGATATAGTTTATGTATAAAATGATAGTCAAATTAACGAATAGATTTTATTGGTAAATATAATCAGTTAATCGATTCGATTGAAAATTCTTTTACGACTGAGGGTATTTAAGATAGTGGAGAAGATTTGTAACTCACTATTTACTTATGCTTGTTATTCCTCATGGAGGAGCATAGGACGCATAACAGCACTCTCCATCAAACGCCATCCTAGACAATCCTTTTTATGTCTTCTTCCGATTCTCCATGTACTGTGTTATTCGGTCTACTTCATTTCTGTTTCCCTTCAGTGTTCCACGTTAGGGATTGCCTCGTGATGCAGCTCGCTGATTCCCACAAAGCATATCCTATCCATTTCCGTCGTCATTTCGTAAATTCCTACTCAGCTGGAAGCTGATTTGTCCTCTCTTACAGAAGGCTGATGCTGATGGTATCTGGTCCAAGCGTAGTAAGTATCTTGCATAGACAACTATTTATAAATACTTGTACCTTCTTGATGATGGTTAAGGTAGTTTTCCACGTTTCAGCTCTGTACAGCAGCACTGTTTTGACGTTCTTATTGAAGATTTTGACTTTGTAGCTCAGGTGGATTATTATGGTGGAGTTTCGTTCCTTGATCTGAATGTTTATCCTTCTTCTGAACGATGAAAGCTTCACGACCAAACTATCAAGATCACAGAACGAACCTCTGGACACTGGTTGCACTATCGACTCCAAGACAATATCTCAGATTGTTTCAAGTTAGATATTCATACCGTTGGATCCCGGCTCAGTAGTCAAAAGGTTGAGCGTTCAAGAGCGAGATCGAAGTTCCTGGGTCCGAGTACCTAATGCGGGAAAGTGGATGAGCACCGCTGAGAAGTTCCATACTGGGGCGAAACGGCCGTACAGTCCTTTCAAGTTTTCCGTGATGGCCCATCTTAAATCGACTCATGAATTCAGCCATTCAATAACTACAGTTTCCACAAACCCCCATTCCCATTATAAGACCAAGCATACACTGAGTTTTCTTTTTAAGACATTTTGATTAATTTTCAGTCTTAACATCTAAACGTTTTCGGCAGGAAATCATTTAGAAAATAATCCACGTTATCTGCATAGGATCTGGTTAGTATGTCAACAAAATAGTGTTATGGGGCCAATATGTATCCATCATTGGATTGATAGTTGGTTGCATTTCCTAAGTGAATTGCCATCTGAAATAGATTATCTTAATGAACTCAATAACCTTATGAATTACTTATATAGCATTCTATCATTTTCTACTTAGACCTGAATTTAAATTCATTTAATGATTGCATTATGATTGACTGTTATATGTGTTGATTTAAGGTTAGCGAACTGCCGATCGGATTAAAGACACCTAAACACACAAAGACGACCTAGAGCCAGATTGGTCCCGCCTCCCTGTCCAGCCCAGCCAGTTGAATCCAAAACGCAAGTCTTAGCCTCTGAGTTATGAATAGTTATATTTCAAACATACTCAGTTTATATACCAACCAAACAGACCACATCGTACCATAAAATAGGAAACAACATTTGTACAATACTTAACGAGCGAAACAAATATCGACCAATAGGGAATGCTCATTTAACGTCCAAGGACACCATTAAACTTAACATGATAATTATTGGTACATTGCTCCGAATATCTCAACAATATGAACAATACATTCTATGAGATTGCTAACACTTCGTTGTTGTGGGTGTTATTATTAATAAATTAAAATGAACTTTGTTTTTATGATAAAGAATTTAATCTTTATTAATATACGCCACATATATAATTTCACAGATTGAAATCATAAATCAATTGAAGTTAGACTACGATGGAAAATTTGGAAGCACTGGACGGCTGTTTTGTTTCAGTATGGGATTCTTCTTCAGTAGTGCGCATCTATGATATTGCACCCTGAGAGATTTGAACTTAGGACCTATCAGTCTCGCGTCAGGCGCTTGACCAACTAGACTATGATTTCAATCAGTGAACTTTTGCAATAATCTTCATAGGATTATTAGTTGGTAATTATTACAACATTTTTATAGTTATCAAAAGGGCAATGATTTTCATCTTATTACTTCGTGGAATGGTTGTGGTCTAGTGGTTAAGTGTTCGTGCGCAAATCTCGCAGGAGGAGAGGTCGTGGATGCGCACTGCTGAGGAGAAGTCTCATACTAGAAAGAAATGGACACCCAGTGCTTCCAGATTTTTCATGGTGGTCTAGCTGCAATTGACTCATGAATTCAATCGTTAAACTATTATGATATCTATAAAACCTCTATCTGACTACACTATGCTTAGTTGCTCATTTTCCATGTTCTTAATCCCCCTTTCTATATTACATAATCTATCATTTTAATTCTATTCTATTCTCCCTACTAACTTATAGCTATATTCATAACAGTTCATCAATAATTATTACAATATTTAATTATTCCAATCAATCATGGATAATGGTTAGCAGTGGAATCCAGTTTGACTCGCGTTTCGTCCTACTTTGGACTCGTCAACTGGATGTACCTGCACCTCAGAGTTGATGTACACTCTGCAATTCGAACCCAGTATCGTTCACTTCAAACTCCGCTTACTTAGCTACTGAGTTTTGATAGCCACTTGCTTGTGTATTTGGACTGAACTTTTAAATTTCCTTAGTATTGTTTACATGAATCTTTACATTGTTATTTAGGACTGTTTTTGATCAGTTTTTCGTTGGCATATGTGCATTCTGTGCGGACTGCCTCGATATTACCTTAAGTTACAATCATTATAAGCAAAGATAGATGGTGGCTAGCAGTGGAAGAGTCAAGTTAACAATATCAAATGAAGTTAATATTATTGAACGTTTAGCAGAGGTATTTCCAGAAGTTCTAGTGAGAAGCTGTGATCAATGGAGGTCAACGAGCTCTGTTGTGAAATAGTAACTCACTGAAGACAAAGATGGACAGTGGTTCAATTTCGTCTATTGGTTGAAGTTAGACATTAACACTGTCGAATGCTGGTCCACTGTTCTAGAGTTTAAACGTTCGCGCGCGAGATCGATAGGTCTTGAGTTCGAATCCTGCGAGCAGGAACGTGAAAGTTCACTGCTGAGAATTTCCACACTAAGACCGAACGATCGTTCAGTACTTCCAGGTTTTCCATAAATTCAACTATTGAATTACTAAAATCCCTATTCTGATAACTCTCTGTTACACATCAGTGTTAATGTCAAACTTAAATTTTTCAGAAAATTATGGTAAATGATTCTAATTTTCTTATTCAAGGAAATAGAATATTTCAATAATTAGTCAACTTACTGTTTCAAAGAAAATTGATATGTTCCCATTTACATGTACTGTGCATGTTATCTGTGCTGAAAATTATTAACAAATAATTGATATATTACTACTCATAACTCTGTTTTGCTTTGGACACCCGGGCAGTATCACAGCTCTCACACAAATCAAATGAGATTTGTGTGATGCATATGTATCTAATGCCCCCTTGTATCAATATCTATGTGTTAAAATAAATTAATAAATAACTACTAATAACTGTTATATCCCAACAAAGATTAAATCATGGGTAGTTTTTGGAACTGTTTATGGATTATTATCATACATGTATATTTTTATTGTCAGTCAGTCAGTAACAACGTAGAACTTCGTACGTACGTACATCAGTTCGAGTTGCCACATCACATTAGCACAGAGATGCAGTTGTTGATTCAAATCCCGTAGTGCTAGAGGTAGTAAAAGTATAAGCAGTAATCGGAAGCAGTAGGACTTGAAGTATAATACAGTGAAATAAATTCATATTTCATAACTGTTCAGTAACTAGATTATATATAGATATTCATATTCCTTTTATAATAAGCTTCCATTTGACCTATTGACTATTATTATACAATTTACTATTCTTTAGTTATTTCCAATTTATTAGTTATAATATCTCACATACATTGTCACTTTTTGTCTTCATTATATTATAATTGTAGAGTATGATATATACAGGTTTGTTTGTCTATCATCGAAGTATATCTAAATTATATAATTCATATAATAGTAGGTGATAATCAATGTTTTCGATTCAACAGGTAGAGCATGATTAAGAGCATAACCTATAAAGACTTTTAGGCTTCTTATATTAGTTAATAAATCATTGATTTGGCACAGTGTTAACATTTTTATTAGTTGTATTCTCATTATCATGTTATGATTATTAGGTTATATGTTATAACAATAATAGAAAGTCATCTGTTAATGATATAGTTGATATCTCCTTTTTGTCAATTCATTATTTTCATGGATATTCTATTTGAATCTTTCAAGTCATATTCATAATAATACAGAATTCCAAGTATTGAAATCAATATGATACATATTTAGCCTATAACTGAAG